ATATAGTATGTTTCTTTCAGTACAGGTCGGCCACACTTGTTCCGTGGTATGTCCTTATCCCGCGCCCGTTATCGTTTATCACCTAAGAATTTTACGTTGCTGCCCAGACTTGTCTGTGATTTCTTCGTGCACTACTTAGTCGATTAGCAAGCAGCACAGGTACCGATTGAAGGTGCCCTGTACGAGCTCGTGACAATAGGTCTACGTACCCAGAACAAACCGGTGGTTTAATAAGCAGCCTTCCACGCGATTGAAGGTGCATTGTACGAATCCACGGACACAGGCCCAAGTACCCATACTTACTAACGGTCCAAAATACACCTTGTTGTCGTGGTAATGTCCGTAGAGAAAACGGCTGTTCCAGTGGGGTGGGTATACGCGGATTCCTGGCCAATGGAGTAGAGAGGGACGCACTTTATTGGCTATTCCCCGCAAGTCGGTATACGCACAGCCGCATATGAACTGACATGATCTAGCCCACCCAACCCCATCTGTCCATAGACTAACACGCAGTCAGTCCGCGTACGGTTCTGCTAACGTTTGGGGCCTCGATAAGGTTGGCAACGCCAAAACCTAGCCTTTGGCGTACTTCGGTAGAATTGATTACGACTCACTCCCTTTTACGAATCCGACATAATACGCTTGGGTTGATAGACCTATTGACCCCTTATTCTTCCCGCAAGACAGTATTACAGTCGCCAACTTACGACTAGTTCATTGATCGACCGTGATCGATGCACTGGCGATGATATGATTAGCCGCAGGGATACAAATTTGCGAGTGTGCAGCACGGCTCTCTGGCTTCAGACGTAACACATCCAAGGCTTGTTCATTTGCCAGCACTCCTATGCACTGAACATCTTGCATTGATATGCTTCATCCCAGAACAGAAGACCTGTACTGCCTCTTTATTGGGTGCGATTCTGGAAGCGGGTGTCACGCTTACACGGCATATAAGTCTGGACCACTCGCAATTACTCACTACGCGGGGACCGATTCCAGGCGCTGTGGTCCGAAAAAGAAAGACGATTTACCGGTTCTTCGGACGTTTGCTCCGAACACGCAACCTGAGCTTGATATTCAGCTCGTTCAGTGAGCTGCTAGTGCTCTACAGCTCATCGCTTGAGCCTCTTCCCGTCGAACAGCAGCACCGAGGGCAACTTGCAATAACTCAGTTGTGCGAGCAACTTCGCCGACATCGCCGTCCACCCATAAAATAAAGCAGACTGGTCTAACTTTTTCCGGCAAAAACCAAGGCTTCACAGTCATTCATTGTATTCTTACATATTGAGTTGTAAATATGTATTGCTTCATAAATTGGTATCGTATTTATTTCTCTAACACTCTCATCGTTCACAGTTAAGATCGCCTAGAGAAAAAGATCCAATCGTATCTTCATATAGATTGAAGCTGACAAACGATTTAGATTGTACCAAAATTATGACGACATTTTACTTCTGAAGAGCATTTACGGTTAAGTTTTTAACAAACGTATTTGAGAGATCTTTCCAAAACGGCTGAGATGTCATTATATTTATATAATTTGCAGTTGGCAGTAATTATATCCGTTGGACGGCGTGCTAGCAGAGTTGTCACATGAAAATTGCTATACGAATTCAATAGATCAATTGTACAATTTATCCATAAAATATGTCGCTACAAGGTGATCTGAATGCCGGATAAACATGTACAATTATAATTGATAAATATCGTACTGAGTTAGAGTTACCGACTACGTCTGTGGTTTTAACGATAGTTAGCAAATAGTATGGGCTATCTTACAGCAAGCATCCTGTACAATCGCAACAAAATACAGATCATTTTTATGTGTGCACAGCCTCGTAACTGCACGAGGTCAAAAATATTTAAAATTTCGCCTTATATGTCAGATGCCTTATATGTGTCATCGTGGTGTGTGTGTATATGTATATATATATATATATTACCCATATATAATAAAGCACGTTCAAGCTTTAACCGGATTTCTTAGGCGGCGCGTTTGTCACACTTACCAATAAAGCTCCTTTGGCTTACAGCATTTCGGTGTAAATACAATAATAACTATGGCACCATTCAGCATGGCAACCCAGAAAATCCAGAAAAGCACAAACAGAAAACATCTCAACGTTACCCAGAACGGGTCATTAGCAAACTTTATCACTTCTTCTTTGCTCAAACCTACGGTTGATGCACGATTTGTGTTTCCTCTATCGATGATCATTTTCGAGTCTACCGGCGTAAACTTCGCCTCTTGCATTTTTTCCGTTTAAAATCGACTTTTATTCTTTTGACCGTCGCGTCCTTGGTCCCCTCAAGATCAACTTCTTCCGCTTCTTTTTGCAAGGTCACTGGATCCTATTCGTCCTTAGTCAGTCAATTACCAATATTTGTGGAATCCTCGAACACGTCTCACGTGAGGTACAACGGCAGAGCAAAAGATCGTGTTTGGATTTTTTACGTTTCTGTTGCTACTGGGTCGCGACAGCGGTACGTTAGCACTCACTACTGCGGTGTTCCTACTACAAATGACTATCCATGATCGTTGAGCACGCGTGTGCGCGCGGCCAATTTGGTCGAGGTCGCGGATCGAAGAGAAAAAGGATAAATGCCGGCGCAGGCACCAACAACAGCAGCACGATCTCATGCGTGGGTGAGTCCAATTGAGATGTCCGTCGAGTGCTAAAAGAACGCTATGCGAAGCATAACAGCATGACGGTACGAATGTACCAGTAGAGAGGCTAATTCAGTAAAAGCTGATGCAGATAGATAGGAGATCTATGTTGTGTGTGCGTGCAAAAAGATGAAGAACGCATAAGAGCTTCTTGAAGATATTTTTTACTGCTTAAGAAGAAGACACCGCGCTCGTTGACCTACATAAGAAGACGTTATCGAGCTACAATCTTCAAATCCATTTCTTTATACTAACAATAGACAAGTGAGCAAACTGCTTATCTATTGTTAGGATTTGAACTATCGCCCATCCGCCAATGGGTCCTTGGTTATCCTGTGAAGTTTAACATGTCGAGACTTTAAGCATGACGTGTTCATCCAATATGCGATAGTCCTAGTCATATTTTGAATAATACTAGGAGAAAAAACTTCCGATTTGTAATCTAGCGATACGTCCTTAAATAAGAATTGCGTATTTCGAAATAGCAGACTAAAATTGCAGTGTTTGCTATAAAAAAAAAAAAAAAAAAAAAAAACGCTTTTTTAATACTTTCGCAATAAAAAAGACGCTCAGTGTTTACTTCGTCGAGTGTTCATTTTGTCGCTGGTCTCCTTTGTATATCAGTAACATATGCAGGGTTTAAAACTAATTTACGTCTTCTCATTCTTCCTATATGGCATGAAAATTGTAGACTTTCTTCTATTAGTCGCTGATCTCTTAAAAATGAATGTATCTGGTCTTGACCTATGTTATTTCTGTAAATTTAAATGAATTTTTATTAATAAATCACTAGCCACTACCTTAATTTGATACCTAATACCCGGCTCACATGGGCGAATATGAGTACTATGGGATTAAAGCGCTAAATTCTGCCGCACCAAACCCCCGGATGTAGACCTAGTGCTAGATTAAACGAAGTCAAAAATGGGAATTTGAATAGATCCGTTTCGATATATATATATATATATATATATATATAGGAGTCAGTCGACGATTCTCTTTTGCGACTCTCTTTATAATATATACGTTATTATTGCACGCGTAATAAGTTGATTCACAATTGGTCTAGTCTAGGATATTTTCAGAAACGAATACTTGCTATATCTAGTTACAATACAAGGACGGAGACAGGTAAAAGGATCAAGTAGTTTTCTTTCATGGCATATTAATTCCAAAAGTAGATGACGCGAAATAACTTAGAATGAAACTGAAAAAGATTAAGTTAGATATATATTACAGAAACTTATTACACTGTCTGTCATTGCGAAATTTCCACTAAGTAATGTTTAAAAACTGTGTACTATCTACATCACGTCCGTTTAACAATGAACAAAAAATTATTTAAAAAAAAAAAATAGAAACGATAAGAAGTTAATGCTACACGAAATGACTGATTTGCTAGCGTGTGCTGGTATATGTAAATAAAAAAAAAAAAAAAAAAAAAGCAGAATATGCTATTTGATCTTTCGTTTTAATAGTTTCGGACCTTGTTTTTTCCTGCGAAATATTTGAAAGAATTTTTTCTTGAAAAGCGAACGTTCTTTAGCACAGAACAGAAATCGTCTCGGCTGTTCTTTTTCCACATGTGGTCAACATTGCGTCAACCTCTGCTTGACGAGTATTCGAAACGTTTCAGAAAATTATAGACTAAAACGTTTGAAGAATTTCCATACCCTGTCATTAAGAAACTAGGATTTTATGAAGATCTACCTATATCTATATATGGTTATATAATTAGTGTTAATAATTGGCTCGAAAACTTATCCCATCAAAACAAGACCAAAGCTTTGAACTGTTGTAATATGTAAACGTTTGAAAGACAATATTTTTTGAAACGCTGTAGCACGATGCCAACGTACCTGGGCTCGTATTAAATTAAATAGCTAAAGATACAACGCCATGTTTCTATATCTATGGATTAGACTCATCTGTACGAAGGGAATCAATATTTCTCCTCACTGCCTTGAGACTATTGATATGATTTCAAAATTAAATCAGCTCCAAAAAATCACTGTCTTGTTGAAGTAGTTTGCCTTGGGATTGCATTATCTTTTTATTAAAGTAAGATATTTTATTCATTATGATAAAGTGTTGTATTGGTACACGTTGCTACCAAACCGTATTTAGTAGTAGGCAAGCGTTCGTTCGACTTACATCGTTTCATTAGATAAACTGGCAATGAATTTATCTAGAATTCAAGATGAGCGATCAGTCAGTGCCAGTCCGATGTTAAACGTTGTTCATACTGATATACGTTTAGGCCTACTCGTCTTTTTGGCCTGGTAAAAATATTTTTCTGATTTTTTACATAGCAACATGCTATAGTAGGCTGATTTTGCGTCAAATATTTTTACTTAACCAACTGATGTAGAGTGTACTATTTATCTAAATGCCCATTTTAGATTTAGCTGAAATTTTTACTCGAGGTTTGTTTATTACTATTCGGTATACGAAACGATTCGTGTATGGAACAGTAATACACAGTATCGATCTTATAACCTTATGAAACATTGACATTGGACCAACCGAGGCTTGATAACTTCGATTTTTACGTTTCTTCAAAATCACTTTATTATCATATTATTATTATTATTATTATAAATTATTAATCATATTAAAGCGTCGTCGTTAGACGTTACAAAGGTGTTACAACGATAACACTTAGTGCGCAAAGTTGACTACAGTGGCGCAGTTGGGAAATGTCCATATCGCTACCTAATGAATACGATAAAATAGCTGTATAAGTTTTTTTTTTGCTTTTTTTTTTTTTTTTTTATTATAGTTGGAAGTTGCTAATGTACAACAATGGCAATTTTGCGCTCTCAAACTATGTATGCATGACTGGCTTTTCATTTAATGCCTGTAAAAGTATACGTATATGATGTGAAAGTATATGGCTGAGCGGATGGCTTGTGATGTTTAGCGACAAGGTCCAATCTATTTGTATCAGTGGGCAAACAATCTTTCTTTAAAATTGTCCATCAGACTGCAAAACGTGATCACGGAATTGAACGTCGTTAGGCCCACCAACTATGTCGCCGTTGTCGCTTAGTTCGTTCTGTGCTGGCAGCCAGCCGTGTGGTAACGATCTCATAGCGCTGGAGAGAGGTAAAGCATTTTATTAAAGTTTGCCAGATGCTCCTGGCTCGTCGCGAGCGTCGTTTTCGCTCAGATCCCGAATCGATTTTTGGAATAATCTGCCTTGCGGGGCTAAAACTTCGTTATTAACTTTCACAACTTTGTATAAGGTTCATAATTTGAGAAAAAAAAATTACTAACATATATTTAATTTTTTCTATAATGTGGAACGTTTTAGGTTCATGTCGCGGTCTAGCGCTCTGGCCAGTAGGTGCGCGTTTCTTCAAATAAATCAAGTGTCCGCTTTGTGGTTCATGACAGGAAAGATAGACTAATCTTGACTGATATGACTCAGCTGGAGGATATCTTTATCGGTGGATGGACTTTATCCTATTGGTTTGACGAAGACGCACTTACTGTCTAAGAGGTCGGTAGAATAAAGATCTAGAGGCCCGAGTACAACCTACAACCCACATTGGATGGGCTTTATCCTGAAGAGCTAGAAACTAAATAAAGTAAAACACTTGTGGGACTATGTATTACTTAAGCTTTATTTTTTTTTTGACCACATGTCCAGATCTAAAACGGCCTAGTATGCTAAGCTACTAGACTAGTATACGCCCTTTATAAAAGACATAACGAATTAGATCAGCATGGCATCCTAGTTGATAGATGATATGCTCCCATGTTGACTCCTTAATGAGCACCAAGTTTGCCTCTTTGCCTATTTCTAATGAACCATACCTGAAACAAAGAAATTGAACGTGTTTATTTCCCATTGCCTGTTTAAATGTGTACAATCTGCATGGCTGTAAAATAGGATATTTCGAATAAATTATTTATCTTTACAGGTGTACCACGATGACGCAGGTATGACTATATTCTTGTGTCATATCTACGACACATCATTTATAGACATCAACAATATCTATTATCTTCCTTATCGTTCGAGTCAAAACTTTGTACCTCAAACAACTTGTACCTCATTTTTTTTTATATTTCTATTTGATAACAAGCTAGTTTCTAGTTCATCGCGCTTTATCTCTGATACAGCCTGTTCATGTCATATATACATGTACATGTCATACAAATAAATATGTTCGTAATCTACATATAATAAATTCGCACGATGGCCATATTGTTGTTAAACAAGGATGTATCAAGTCTCGATTCTCTTAAGAATTTTTTGACCTCTGAAAGTTCGTCTGCAATCGTAATACGTGCACAAGACTGTCAAGTAATTAGTTCAAAAGTTGAATAAGCTGGTAAGAATGATTAGTTTATTTTTTAGTAATCTATGCCACTTTTCCAGGCCTAGAAATTTTATATATAGTGCCGCGTCTCCAATGGACTCAAAGAGTTTGTAGGTAGGTCTGATAATGATATTCGGCCACTGCGATTTGTGATTTTTCATTTTCATTGCCGAAATTTCCTCACCTGAATCAACTACTCCGCTCATTTGTGCATTAAGATATTCTTTGACAAAGCGGAGGATAACATAGACCCCTGAGACATACATGCAACGCAATAGATTCCAGCATTCGAATTAAAGACTTTTTCTTTTTTGAAAACGCGGCTCGGGCGCCGTTTTTACAGAGTTGAGATCTTTCGAGCTGACGTTTTTAGTCCTATACACGCACAAGTCCTATAAAAATGTTTCCGTAAATGTTTTTCTCACTCACATGTTGCAGGAAATTTAAAGTAGTTCCTTATATTTAATGGTAATGTAGTGAAAACTCCTGCATCATATGGGAGATTAAAACTAGTTTGGTCGTTGCTACCTGTGGGATCTTCCGATAGAGTACGCTGCGTTGAGGGTCGCCGCAACAAAGGCTTCTGTTAAACTCATTTTACACTGGACGCAGGCCAAATGCATTACAGTAGGCTGCGCGCAAAGAAAAAAAAAAAAAATAGAAGTTATTAGAAATATACTAGGGAAAACGTTTATTTACTCAAGAATAGAAAAGTTTATAAGCAAATCTGTACTGTGAAATAGGCTTCTAGAAAGAAACTATTTGCTCTTAAGTATCAGACAGCCATTTTTGTGATACACGTAAACGTATAATTGTGCGCAAACGTTATTGTTAGGTGAAATTAGCCGTATAATAGGGTGAAAATAACAAACTAGTACCATGGCGTAACAGAAAGCATTTGGGTTAAAATCAGACCCAAGAGCCACGATTACCCCTCCCTCAATCATATCTCGCAGTGGTGGGGGAGAGATGCGAAGAACGTGCGCGGTCGTAGGTAAAATGACGCCAGCTGCATGAGTGATCGCCATTTGCTTAATGCCTTCGTCTGAGATGCATTCCAGATGAGACATTGCTCGTGCCCCTAAAGAACAGCCCATCTGCAACCATATAGATGATCACGACGAACGACGATGCAGATTGTAAGTTTGACTGTTTAGTAGGCAATTCGTACGATAGAAACCCTTAAGAACTCGCGCATTTTTACACCATGAGTCACCTTGAGGAATCGTATTAGCGCTATAAGGAAATATCAGATTTAATATTCTATTTCTAACGATTACACTTCGTAAAGCATCTTCACTAGATCGTCGAGTCCATACTCGAATAAAAACGCAAAATAAAGAAGTCACTGGTAAATCATTACTGAAACTGGGTGAGATCCATACTTCAACGCCGTTGATGCATGACAGCTCTTCTGCATGGAAGTTTAGTCGGTAGCCAAGCTTCTTAGCGCTTTCTAATATAACCCGTGATGATTCCGTTTCGAATACGTTTTTCTCACAGAAGACGTCCACATTATCAAAGGCCACTAAAATTTGATATCGACCGTAACAGAGGTATTTTTGCATTATTAATTATGCCAAAGGAAAAACTAGCACTGAAAAAAGCGAACAGCTTGACAAGCTATAAGAATACCTTATTATCAAACTATTTAATAAATGTACTTTTGTGCGTTGTTTCCAAAAAAAACTTCAATTAATTTAAGAGATCATCACTACATAGTAACAGCGATGGATACGCCAGTATACTTAATACGTTCTTGAGTACGCATAAGTTAAATACACAGATATTCATCAGTAGATTATTAACTTTCTAATCAAACATATTGCACTCGCTCGTCGGATTCAAAGGCATAAATATCATTAATAAGCAAAAAAAAAAAAAGAAAACTAAAGACGTTATGTTGTTGTAGTATGCCTGATATCAATACAAACACAGTGGAAACAAAATAAATAGGGCACAGTTCTCTTTTCGAATATACAAATGGGGGTAAGTTCATGTTTTAGATGTACTGCCTCGGCAGTCCCTCTGAAGATCTTGAGCAGGTGGTGCAAATTGCGTATTTCTGTACACGCCGGTAATAGCTGATCGATACCTTCTAAATTTTCGTGTTTTATTTCTTGTGTCCATTCAAACCTTGTTGATTTAGCTGCAGAAGGTCCTCCGTCGCAATCTTGTGTGCAAATAGATCCGAAGTTCCATTAAAGTCTCTGAAATTGTATAAAAAAAAACTCGACAAAAATCGAGTTGGATTTTTTTATATAAAGGATTAAGTTAGATAAATAATGATAATATAGATTATTCAAGTATCTAGCCACTGTTAGTTACAATTTAAAAATAGAATAATGTATACCTATGAACCTATAAAGTAATTTAAAGTCTTAAGCATTATATATTTTTAGATGTTTACTGTCACCATTGATTACACTAGTTCTTAAGCACTATATCCAGATAGTGCAAGGTCTACTTGCCTATGGCGATAATCATCTGAAACGATACCTTCGAGGATATTTCGACAATAACCGACATGTCCTATCTACTCTCTAGCGTAGCAGTTCCATAAACGCACACTTCAATGTAATAAGGACAACATACCTGGGTACAGCATGGGCTCCTAGGTACGTGAGCGACATATCGATGATGTCGTCCTGGTTGCGAACTTCATTCAGTATACGGAGTAGCCGCAATTCATCCTCCAGCCATAGACCATAGCTGTGAATCGGGTGATACACAGGGACAGCACGAATGCTCTATGAAGAATTATCTAATTGAAGCTTCTAATGTGTCTGAAAGGTTATCTAATCTCACTTTACTAACGCGCAGAAACAGGTTAGGGCGTGCGCAAATATCAACTGAGATCCGGCCTTGACCAAATCTTGATGCTGATCTTCTCTCTTGATCATATTATATTGAACCGTATCTGCTGGATACATTAACTCTCTCTCGATCGAAGGTTATCCTGCGGATCAGGGTGATTTATCCATAGTATTTAGTAGGTAGTATCTACTCACCGCAATGATACGAATTTATTACTTTAACCAATTTTACTTCTCAGAAGTAATATTCGGAAATTGCAAATAATTATTATAGCGAATATACATCTAATATAGACGTTGTATGTTAATTAAGCACCTTAAAATTAACACATAGGAACCTCTTACAGGCTTGAATAAGGTACATGATTCAAAACTAAGCACAAATCTAGTGCGTCAGAGTAAAAAAATAGTAAGGCTTTTCATGTATTCATTCAAACTTTATGCGGATCTATCATTTGCTTGAGTGTCTTTTTGGGGAAACTCTATATTTAGCGACGAAGGAGAATATCTCTTGGTAATCTTCCTATGAGGTTCTTCTGATCATATTTTATCCCTTATAATGTTTCGATTAAGGTTTTGCAGGCGTATTGATACGTTGATTCAATATGGTGAGTGGAAAATGTTAAAGACTAACGTAATAGAATGGGGGAACCGGTATCTATTCAATATGTAGGAGCGTACCCTGTCTTGCATTCAGCTGCCGTTGTCCCAGAACGAGCCATGAGACGTAGTCTATCTGTTAAAAGCTGTTTCAGCTTGCTATCACTTTCAGCCCTTGTACATTCAACGGTGTAATGAATTCCACCCTTATTTTGATGAATTTCCATATAAGAAGCACCACTCAGCTTCAGAGCGAATTCATGAACTCGATCGCCGCTCCAAATCGGATGAGTGTGGCCGTCAACGAATCCTGAAAATTTGCCGTAAAGATAGCTTACGCGACCATGCATGGCTACAAGCTGCCCGCTACCCCACTACAGTCCATCCACTTATTATAGGATACGTGTAATTGAAAAAGGAGCACCTTATTACGCACCTGGCATTAGAGCACCCTTCTCTGCATCTATTACCGTTTCGAACTCGGAAGCCTTGTATTTATTGGTTAACTCTTCGGTAGAGCCTATATCGAGTATGTTACCATCTCTGAAAGTGAATCGTACAATCCTATTACGACAAACATAAAAGTTTCATTATTTTTACAATATGCTTGATTTCCAGCCTTCCATAGTTCTAAAAAAAAGTGAACTATAATTATCATCCTCATAAAAGCACCTTTATTTCAACCGTTCAAACTACATATTGGTATAACCTAAACATTGGAGTCCGAATTTCTATCGTCTATAAATTAAGGTGGCACTAGACTTGTTACTTCGAGGCACCTGCTTTGCAATGATGGCACTGCATAGACTGAGCTCCGTCGCCACAGCTAACAGCCATCACATATAAAAAAAAAAAAAAATCCAAATCGCTGCTGGCATTTTCAAAAATTCACAAATCACCTCTATGGGCCTTTCAATCAATAAAATATTGAAAAATTAATCGTGACGCAATTATAAATTGAAGGTGTCTGTCACGTTTTCTTGTTCAGCTGACTTTAACAACAGTGACGTCTACTGAGTCGAATAGATTATGCTATATTTTATGTCCTTGTGTGCTTGGTGATTTATTAGCATATGCACATAAGCACGCGTGGGCTGACTGCAGTGTTACATGTACCTGCACAAAATGAATTAATAATGTACTAAAAATTGCCGTGTTTCATACTTCAATCGTATCGATTGTCCAAAAGACAAATAAAGACAGAGACTAGGAATTCAAATTCGATCTCCCCATCGAATGTGCCTTGTACCTATAACGTTTGAATTATCATGACCCCTGAAATTATAAAGTAATTAAATTACTGTGTTTCAACCATTTTAGTATTCTGCTAATGAAACTGTAGAGTCAAATACTTACGCATCGGTCGCCAGAGCGAGCGAGTCCCCTTTATGTTTAGGCCTAAGCACACACATTGTGGACATATCGGTTCCCGCTAAGTACAGTTGACCGTCATTGACCACCTGAACGAGCTCCGCGCAGTTAAAAACTAACAGACGCTTGAGCCTATTTCCTGACGACGAGGACATTACTACCTGTAAAGTGACATACTATGTTAAACAGCATGTATCTGTCTTGATAAACATGATTCCGGAAAATGAGTGATTTTTAATGTAAAACTTGATGAGTTAGTGATTTTAGGTAAAACGTACAGCTGTATAGATAAATATATATATATATATATATATATATATATATATATATTTAGCGAGGTATGAGCTTTAGATAGTAAGGGGGCATTTCTCAGGCAGAGATGTCTTCCCCAATCCCATCAGCATTGTTTGTCGCAAACTCAGGAGATCAAGTTCATGTGGCTTCAAACTGCTGGACAAGGAGACAGACAGGAGCACTACGATTAATCCAATTACTGTTCTAAAGATAGGGCTGGTCTGTTTACCGATAGTTTGAAAACAAACGGAGCATAGCCTAGAAAGTGAGCGAAAGTACCAGACCATTCGACCATAAATGATTCGGCACATGCACTATTGGGGAACACCTGTTGTGTCACAGTGAGGATCCAATTAGACAGATTATGAAATACTCCTTTACTCTAATATCGACTATCGGTTAGAATTAATGGATATTTTGAATACCGTTGATCGACAAGCGATTACGAGTCAGTATGGGTAATTTTACGTATTGGCCAGCGTCAGAAGCCTTTTCTATAGCACAGATTCACTTCATGCTTTACAGGATTGGCTTAATGCTTGCTAAGGCTCTTAGAGAGTTTCTATTGCTGATTTTATGCGATGAATTAGGTATTAATGATAAGCAGCATCAAAGGAGCGCTTAACGAACTGTGAGCTGTAAACAAGAAGTGGTAAGCTTATCAGACCGAAATGAATCTGATTATACCCACGATAATATCAGGAGTTACAGGGGCCAGGATGATATTTATAGCAAATGATCGTCTCTGGCAACTCGCCTATGAAGTTTACCGAATGCGCTTTATTCAAGTTTTTTTTTAAGCAGGAGACATGGAGCAGTTATAAATTACGCTAAAATTATATAATGCGATATTAAGAACTAAAGTGATCAAATCGCTGCGGAACCCATTGCTACCCATGAAACGCCCCTAGGCGAAAAGACATCTCTGACTTTACGTTTTAAAATTAATATATATATCTATTTTAAAAGTAGGCCTCTCATGTTAACCCCTTTTTTTTTCTATGATAACAACATATATCCTTAAAATATTTGCATGTTGCATCGATATAACAACTTATAACGCTTTGCTTCTAAGTCCCCGGCACTACCTCTTTCTACTTCTCATTAATAAAGAAATTTATTAGTTAGATTATAAACGGATAGAAGCTATATGACTGCGCCGAATACGTACAGCATTAAGGCCTATTTCCGTCTGTGCTAAACATATGGTCATTTAGGTGATTGCTCTGAAAGTTCCTCATACGATCAAAACAGGGCACGCTAGAGTTTGAAATTTGTATTTATATATCCTTTCGAATCAATAGCGTGTCATTGCCCAAAAACATCTTACAATAAATGTATCCTCAGTATTTCCAATGAACACTGAAGAAGTAGTCATCCTGTGCACCAATTTGCGGCCGGAGCCTTTTTTGGCTCTTGAAAAAGGTCACCTTACGGTATTCACTCTGTCATTTTTGAGAAAATTTAAATAGAAAAGACTTTAGGCTACGACGAAATCGTAGCCGCTAGTGAGGGCTTTCGCCAAATGTCCTTTGAATAACTACGGCCATTAGTGACATGAAGCAATGTTTTGTCGTGGCTGGGTATTCAATTCATCTAGTATAGGCTGTATAAAACCCTCCAGCATGTTGTTGTCTTTAGTTATTTTTTATATTTATTTAGTATGGTAAAAAATCTTCCTCAAACCGGTTAGCTCCATAAAATCGTAGTTGGTAAAGTGGAATAAAGATTTACCCTTTTTTTTTAGACGCCCATGTATTCGAACTCTTCTCGCTACATAAGTTAGACCTGCGCAGGCCAAGCAGGGATATCTTACGATTCTTATTTCATTTCTATAACTAAGAACAAGGCAAAAACGACCTTTACAATTCACACTCAACGATAAGACTGCGTTCATTGCTGGTTATCAAAAATGTCTCGTCTCCGTCGGGGAATCGGTGCTAATAACAATGTCCATCAAATAGGAGCATCGTTCGTACATTCTTAATACGCGGTCATGTTATAGTGATTGCAAGCTTTGAAACCGAAATTGTTCCATTTCTAATGTGTCAACTGTTTCTGTCTTTTTTCCTTCCTCAGACTTTCTATATTGGAATCGACTTATTAAAGACAAATGGTGGATGCTTAGGTTTTCACATTCGGAGATTCGACAAACGAGAAGCGTATATATATATATGTATACATATGGTTATTTTTTATATTTATTTTTACTAATGTCTATTATCTGGATAGGGCACACATGACACACAACTAGTCAAGAGCTGCATCCGCTATCCCGTATTTTCGAATCACAAAATTATGTACTATATGTATACTATCTTCGAACCATAATTATCTTTGGCAACTTTTTAATATGTTCTTATTTAGATACTTTACTTCACTTAGATACTTTTTGTCATACCGTTAGATTTGCAGCTTGTGTGGATAACAGGGCATAGAGTATTTTTTAAATAGACCGCGAAGAAAAAGCCTGGCTTCTATTGCTCATTACTAGATGTGGGCCAGCTGTGCAGTTCAGAGCTTCGGTACACAGGAACACTTTGGTTAAAAAGAATGACACATGCTCTATTTAACGCGCAAGTTAATTACCGACTGTCTTTCTTGATGAACAAAACGACACAAATATCGATCAGTGGACTCCGCAGTAGACACTTCTAGACGCTTCTACCTTAACGAAACATAGCACGTCATAGACGCTGTTTATTATAACCCGCTGAGAGAAAACGGTATCACTGTGTTATCTCGATATTATGCTCTCTGCTGTTTCACGCTGCCTCGAATAGGATCCAGCGAAGGTGTAACATCGTACGCGACTCCATCCGCCTCGGTCTATAAGGGCGCCTCTTTCAGCGGAATTGTCTCTGCTTAGATCAAAATACATTAAACTCGCTCTTTATCGGTTTCGTATGATTTATATGAGAATTTGGCGTATGGGGCAAGCTTACTACTAGTTCACGCACATTATCACTAGCTTCATACTTAATATCCTGCGCCCCAAATAAGAAAATATTATTTAAAAAGCATAGAAAACCTATTGTAGTAGCAATCATTTTGCATAATCTAATGGAAGCCTGAAACTTAGCGCACCGCATTATTCCGTTTGACGAGCATTCGAATAAACCCACTAAGTAAACGAAAAAAATCAAACTTTTCGCAAAAATATTAACTAGAAAAGTCTTCTCTCCAACGAGATGATTCAAAAAAACATTCATATAGAACCTCATTTATAAAGTTCCTTTTCTTAGGGTTGACAAAGAACCTCAATCTCAGTAAAAAATCAACCGCCAATCTATATCACCTAAAGGCCTTAAGATTCAAACGCGTCACAGATCATGCAAAATCAAAGTTTTCAAACCTATTGTATTAATATTGCGACACTATATACCGTAAACGGTCATTACTAGTGTTCATCTTTTTTTATGCTGATGGATTTAGTGCTTTACGCACATTATTCGGCAGTGATGATTTCACCGAGGCCCGAAACAGTATAGGACTCGACTGCGACAAGTTGGTTTAATCCCCCTACGAGGGCTACCGACGAACGCCGCAATGGCCTTCACCGGTGACTACCTAAAATCGGTGAACTTGTTTTAGCTTTTCATCGTATGTATAAAGTTTCTTTCGACACTTTTACGCAATCGTCGTGTTATAGATAATAGTTTACTCAGTTCGCTCGGTCTTCATTGTAAATATCGCATAATTTATAACCAGGTAGCACCAGGCAATGACCTGAACAGCAGTGAATTCAATTAGGAAAATCTTAAACACTTTCCTTTTTTTTTTCCAGTTTTTCACTGAAATACATAATTGACTACAGTAACAGGTATATAAAGAGACATTCGACGCATGTTACAAACCACCAAATTTAGTATATGTTTAAAAAAGCTACCCGTATAATACGTATGATTGAAATTAAAGATGTACATCTCAAGCAATAACTAATGCTTTGTTGTCAATACCATTGAAACGACACTGTGTATATCGTTACGGATATGCCTCTTTAACAGATAAACAATCTAAACTTGGAGCAGTCTCGGAGAAATATACTTCCTTTAGCTGTTACCAGTTGTGGTTCCAAGCGTTAGTTAAACCAAAACACCCGTGAACTGTCTTAGTGTTGACTTTTTGTTGGCCTTTGTGATTTACAGCATTAGGGTCCTATTCCGTTGTGATATTACAATAGGTACTTCGAACATAGTACGAGAAGGCCTACTTTGACGCATCGGTGATGGTCTCGTATTGAGTTAATTTAGACGTATTCACGAAACGGCATATTACGACTATAAACATGAGCTCAGAATGCTGCGACTGATATGCAAACAGATATATTACCTCCAGACATTCAGAAAACGCTCTTTTCGTGGCTAATTAGCTCTGTTTGAACATATTAGGATCAATAGAAATAAGCGGTCTACTTGTGACTTGGATTCAGGGCACCTTGAATAAATATGCGACTGGTTTACGAACAGATTTTGAGATGATAAATCTAAGCTTATCAAAATCCACCTTTTTTCAAAAATTGCAATTTGCGTCCTGAGTTGGAATTAGCAAAGTATTTTTACGAAGGAAGAAGTTGAACGCAAAAAAACTCGTGCCACTTTGCGATTGTCCGCCTGATTCCCCCTTCATATAAAAGCGTTAAAAGATTGGTTGTGCATATGCGCTCCTCTTCTAAGCCAGGACCTTGAATATATGTGTCAATACACAGAAGTCTTTTAAGTTCTGTTTTTTTATAAATTCGGCGATACTTATCAAGGTACACGTCGTTAAGAAATAAAATTCGAGAAAGATGTATCTGCATCAGGGTAGATTACCAAATGGGATCCAGCTCCGGAGAATTGTGGTGAATGTTACAGGCAACAATCCAAGCCATGAGAAGGGCTTAATTTACAAGGCTTTGTCCGGAAAGATTTTTAACTCTAAATATAGAAAGCATTATAAAATACACTTTCTCTCGTATAATTTTATGATCGCTAAGAGGTTCTCTCGTAAAGTTGCAAAATTATCTTATGAACATATTCAGCACGAGAAAGATAGTACTGCTCTTGTTTTTTCCACGATACAGGTCTGGCCTTCCACGTTCGCCTACAGTACCGATCCGTTCGACAAAAATTTCAATTCTCACTTATTCCGAAAATCAATATTTGGTCAATCCGGCCCTCGTGATGTTTAATAGTATACGTATTTTCAGACCCGAAAAAACATCGAAAACAAATATAAGGCGGACAAAACTTTTTTTTAAAAAAATTGGGCCCAAGCCAAGTTAAAATACAGACTTTTTGCAAGCAGTTAGTTCTTCGTGGCAAAAAGGCTCAGACATTACATGGAGCGCCGGTATAGAAGTTGTATCAGTATACGCATTGCTTAAAGAAAGATTATCTTTCACCTCCACCAGTGTGATAACCATGAGAAAACGTGTGAGAAACGTGTGATAACCATATAACTGTGTTGAACTCTAGGGTCTAGCATGATATAGGTTGGCGGTGTAGGTGTTACGTTGTGATTTGGAAGTTAGTCCACTCTGTCACAGTACTAGTAAAGGAAAGGCGATTATCTATACACTATGCACTGAGTGATCACTATAAGAATCTATCAGTCAAGCGCGGGTCTTGCTTGGATTGTGTTGTGTTGCTTCGTTTGTAAAATAAGCATAGCGGTATGGAATAGTTGGCCACTATTGTTAAAAAGGACAATGACGATAATAAAAATAACATTAATAACGACTATAAAAACGCCGATAGCAAATACGTATCGATAAAGATAACCAAGGAATTAAGGCTATTGATTTTTCTGATGAATTTTTGCTATTGCTGCTGTTAGCTTCGGTGTGTGTGTGTGTGTGACCTTCGTCAGAGCGACGAGGCAATCCGCTTTGGTTATTTAAGCAGCATACGCATCCATCCAGCCGCTATCCATGCATCGCAAACATGGTTATTTCATACATAAACACAGTAGCTATTTGTACTGCGCCGAAACGCCGCCGTAGTCCTAACTGAAACGTAAGGAACTTTTGGCGGTTTGCACAAGGCAGGATCCTATAACCGATAGCTGTAGTAGTATAGTTTTTTCAACAGCACCAGAATATACAGAACATAGTGTGCTAGAAGAGCATAGGACACTGGCGAGCCATATGTAAAATGGCGACTGACGGCGGTGGGGGAGGGATCAAATTGTACGGCGACTTGCGATGGTACGAAAGAAAAACCGCGAAGAAGAGATTTTCTCGTAAATAGTCAATAGCAATGTTTAGCATATGTTTGTTGCGCGAAGCACAGATTTGTATGCAGTTGTTGATAAGAATTAAGGTTCAAGTGGCATACTTTTACGGTATTTCCTCATGCAAACATGCGCACGGTTTCTCGTTACCTCAACCTCGCAAAACTACTTGTATTAGAGGAATCTCAGTAGTTGTCGTAAAAATAACGGTCGCTTTTAGACCCTACCGTGTGCTAACTATTGTATTGCTTTATCTGACAGCTGCACAATGGATCTGAGTTCAGTCGACAATCGATTTCTCGACATGCGATGGCAAAAATATTTTCTATAGAGAATAATAATTCCGGATATTGCCTAAACATCTACGTAACGTTTATAAAATATACATATTATTTTGTTGTCAAAACTGGGTCAAGATAATTAGTAGCTTCATTAATTAACCCGCAACTATATCTATTGCCTCTCCTCATTGAATTGAAGGCATTGAATCGATTTTCTGCCGTGCACCATAGAGTCATTGATTGTATGGGAACCATTCGAATGGTTCTATAGGGCGTCGACACCGTCGTGGATGAACGTGTACGTAATCAGCATGAGGATTGTCGCGGTCAACACTATTGAGCCCGTGTTTACGATTAATATAGTTAGAACAATCTTTTTTCTGTACCTGCGGAACATAGCGTTTGTCGGTGGCAAGCTGCTTAAGAGCAAGGTCACGCGCTAAATATATAATATGTATAACGTTTAGACCACATAGCCAATCACGGTACCGGCATTTTCGACACGACACGCTCTGATCTACAGCATATCAAGCTGTGAATCCACCGTAATAACGGTGAGACGAAGCGCGCCACGATTTTCGACTGCCTTTGCTGCCTATATTGTTTGGGCGGTAAAAACACCCATCACCAAGTGAAACATGCTTTCGTTTCACCGAAGACGATATTTACAAACAAATCATTCGATCCTAACTGATGAAAATTCTATGGCTGAAATACTCTACGCGACATTATAATGCCATATTTCTACAAAAGGGGTTTTCGATGAGCGTGGTTCCAGATTACTAAGACTTGTCTCACTCTTTAGCGCAGCTCCAAAACTTAACGTTTAAGTATATCGATTAACTATTGTAAAATGGCTAGAATTGCTAAAGTGAAATAGCTGTTTTAAGGCAAAAAAAAATTGCTCACAAATGAAATGCCAAAAAAACTGTTTCTCATAGAACTTCGATCTTCGCAAAAATTAGCTCGACATAAAAATAAAAAGATTATAGCCCAAGTAATCAAAGTGCATAAAGGTAGCAATAGACGCACTCACTAGCTGATCCCTCGTTCAACTAGAGCGAAAAAAATGGCTTCAAGGTTTTCTGTTTTACTTGCAAACTAGCTGCTAGTTACGATAAATAAGGCCAACGGCTAACACTCGCAAAAAACGTAAGAACACTTATGAGGAATCATCAATTTTCCGTCTTGAGATCATCCTGGAGGCCTTTAGAGAC